CACTAAGTTGTGTCTGACTTTGCAACTCCATGGACTGCAGCACGCCAGGCTTCCCAGTCCTACACGATTCTGTTTGTGCAAACTCACGTCACTGAGTCAGGCCACCCACGAAAGGAAAGAGGATAAGAGTACCCAAGGGCAAGCATTTCTCCTAGTGTTCTTCCTTTTTCTTCTTTAATAAGCAAATGCATGTCGTTTCTCCTGCTTCTGTCATGGAGATTAGTGTGTATCTTCCCACCATTTTTTTCAGGTTAACATGCCCGGGAGATGAAGTCATTAACAGTGGAGAGAGCCCCTTCACAGCTCCCTAACTCTTCAGGGTCTGGATGTGCAAGTCTACCAGTCCCTTACTGGACATCTCAATTATTTCCAATATTTTGCTACTGAAGATAATGCTACTGAACATATGCGGCCTATACCTTCAGAATAAATTCCTTTAGTAGGATCTCTGGATTAAGTGAGACTGTGCCAACTTCCCCTTCAAGGGGTTGATTTCCCATTTCTACCAACAATATATGAATGTAACTTTCTTTAGTATCATCAAAGAATGCAGTGCCAAGTTTCTGAATTTTCTCCCAACACAAGCTACAGTAGTTGTATTTTCATTTCTCTTATGTGTGAGGATATGTTTAAAAGCCATCTGCATTTCTTTTTCTGTGACTTGTCCCATTCATATTGTTGTTAGCCTACTTTTAGATTCACTCAGTTTCTTCAAGTCAGCCTATTTTAGGCCGTTATTAACGTTGCTGTTTGGTCCAAACCACTGTTGGCTCTCAGCTCAGTGACTACACCAGCCTCCTAGCTTCTCCCTGCTTCATTCTACCCCTGCCCACGTTAGAGTAGCTAGTCTGATCTCCCTCCCCTCTCCCCACGCCTCCTTCCCCTTCTGTAAGAATTATCATCATTCCCTTGCATATAACCTCTCAATGGTTTCCTATTACAATTAGACTAAAATCCGTATTTTTACTTGTCAAGGTCTACTAGACACAAGGCCTTAATCCCCTGATATTCCTCCTGGCATTCTTTCACTCAGCTGCAGCCACCCTCTTTCTGTCCTCAGCCTACACCAAGCACATTTCCTTCTGAGGACCTCACACAGATCCCCCTCACCCCTAGGATGCTCAGTGTCACTCAAGGAGACCACCCCCAGTAACACTGCCCCCCTTCCCAGTCCGTGACCATCATGTTCTTTCTTCTCAGTGTCTCGCTACTTGACATTATTCCTGTGTTAACAGGCCCCAGGTACCTCTAGGAAGTAAAGACCGGAGTTAGGGTTTGGGTTTTGTCTGTATAACCTCTGTTTGTCCTGCCCCTAAATGGTGCCCAATAATCACCCATTTCAGTGTAGCCCAAATCATTGATGCTTCTCCGAATTTTCCTTCATCATCTAAGATTTCTTCTAATGCTGTCCTTTGATGTGTCTGTCACCCAAGACCAGCATTAATTTCAGATCTCTTAGAGTGGTAGTTTAGTTACTCAGACTCAAAGACACCGACAGGTTACCAAGACCTACAAAAACCTAAGAGAGGAAAACTACTGTTCAGTGAAAAATCAATGGTAACTTGAATTTGGGGAAAGAACATTTAATGTTAAAATACCTTAACTACAAAATGACTCACCCTATGAATTTAATTAAGTCATAAGACAAAGCCATAAGATCAGAATTCTACAGGGAAGTGCAATACATCACTTTTTATGTCTGTGCCCAGAATAAAGCAATATAATGAGATTATAAAAGACAACCATAAAGGGTGGGTAAATGAATGATGCTCCAACCATTAAACAGGTGGTAAAAAGCAGACTGTACAGCTACATGCAGCTGCGTGGAAATACATCCTGGAGCACGCTTCAGGTGTCAGCATGGTTCCAGGAGCTTCCCGTCTTCACTTTACAAGAGAGAGTTACCACGTGGCTCACAAAGAACAATCTCATACCACACACACAGCGTTGTGTCTATACATATACAAAAGGTCCAGAAGAACCAACAGCAAAATATTAATAACAATTCTGGGTATTCTGAGTATGAGTGAACGACTTTTTAGTACTTTGCAAATCTTTTACCTCAAATGTTTATTGTTATCAAAAAAGTAAAAAAAAAAAAAAGTGTTTATAATAGCTACTGAAAGGAGGAAAAACCTGTTGCCCAGAGGTTTTCCCCCATTACGTTGTCAATTCCTTCCCTACCCATTCCTTGGAGGATGAAAGGAAGGAATCACTTGAGAGAGCAGCTTGCACTGTCAATGAGCAAAGTTCCTAAGAGGAGAATATAAAGGCTGTTTGAAAAGCTGATGCATAATAATAAAATCAGATAATAGGACCTTAGCATCTTATATTCTATTATTGACACTAACATCAGTTACATTACATACACTGTTAAAGGCAAAATTCTTTTGAGTCTATCTGATATTTATACTAGGTTCTTAGGAGTTAACTGAAACAGTTTGAAGAAATCATGTTCTTCTCAAAGGTTTCTGAAGAAAAAAACACAGCATCATTTATGTTTGGTTTTGTCTAAGTAACCAAATAATTCTTCATTGCAGAAAAGCCAAAATGTTTTATATCAATGCAGGTATTTCTCAGTTTCCAGGGAAACTGATATAAAACTGTCTGAAATAAAAACATTAAGAGCAAACTTCCAATGTGCTTGCACTTTACATTCATGTTCTGACCTCGTATCTATGGAAACTTAATAGGCAAATGCTGAAATTGAGGTTTCTCTCATCAATTTATTGAATGCCAAAAAAAGAGAGACAAATTTAATTAAAATTTTAACAATCATGTCAAACATAAAAAGGTAAATTCTGTGCTCATGAACTCTCTTTTTCTAGTGCCCGACCTAGCACTCCTCCTCACTAAATGCTTCGTACCTTACCTGCCCGCTTACCAGTTTCTCCTAATGTCCCTCTGTCCAGGGCATTCTCGGCTTCAATTCAAGTCAGCAGAACAAACTCTTTAAAATATACCAACATGTTTACCTGACTGGTAAATTGAGGCTATTTCACGACTTCTTTTATTCCTATCCATTGTAATAAATGTACAGACACAGAATGGAGAGGTATGTGCTGCTTCTGAGTTGTGAACAATAAACTCAAATGGAAATAACCGAACTGAAGTTGAGTTAGGCCTACCTTATGGATAAATTATAAAATAAAAAGTGCATTCCAAACTTTTTTTTAAGCACCCAACAACTGAATTTGGTGTATCTACCACTCTCAAGTCTGTCTCTTCTGTTCAGTAGCTATGTTAGTTATTTCAGAGCTGTAAGTCTTGGCTTCTTCATTGGCAACACAGGGAGAATATTCACAGGTCTTATAGATGGAAGGGTCAGGTGAAATACACCCGAAAATACGTTGTAAATCGTAAAAGAATCATATAAAAGTCTAACTTTGGTCTCCCTACACTAGCCTACTACTGTTTTTTAAAATCAGTTAGAGGCTTACCTTATAGCAACAAGCTGAGCAGTTTTCACAGGTATGCACAAGCTTTGTTTTTAAAGCTACAACTAATTTACATAATTTGTTCTTTCACAGTATCTGACTATTCTGAAAAGGTAGTACCTTCCACTGACAAAGCCACGTCCATCATATGGGTGAGTTCACAGGCTTACCTATTCTAACTTTGAAAGAAATTAAGTAAACCCAAATAAAATTTAAATATAAGAGCTATAAGACATTTCCTCTATGAAATAAAGAAATACTCTCTGGCATTTAAATGAAACAAGTGGGCCAGTGGGGCTTTAACATCTTCACAGCACAATGTTTTCTACTTTAAAGAACACAGTCTTTATTAATGAGCCACATTGTTATCCAGAATCTTTTTTTTTTTAAACCTAGAGTCGTCTAGTTTCAAAATTCTAGAGGGAAAAATTCAAACGTTTCCTCTCCTCTCTCTCCTCTTCTCCATGACAACCCACCCCCACCCCCAGCCATTTCTCTTCAGAATTTTACCTGAACATTCTAAAAGTTGAATAGGATTCCACTGGCAGGAGAGGGTTGGAAGGAGAGGTAGCCATGGAGACAACTTTTCTGCAGGATCTGCCATTTAACTGCCAAATCTTTGTATTACAAATTAAAGTCTGAATTTCTTTTTTCTCCTTTGAAACTTTTGACCGACAGTCTCAGGAACCACCCCCAATCCTCTTCTAAAGAGGCAACATGCAAGTGAAGTTGGTTAAAGCTGGGGAGCTGAAGACATTTTTGTGTCAAAGTGGGAATCTTAATCAGAGCTCCGTGGGGTCGTCTTTGGGTAAAAAAAAAAACAACAACAAAAACTATTCCCTGCAGCCGTTGCAGTAACGTTTCACACCGTTCAGTTACTTTAAGCCCCCCTCTAACCTTTTTCTTTCTTATCGTTTTCAGATTATAGTTAGAATAAGGTCGCTTCAATCAGGACAACTCGAGACAGAATTTTACTTAACGCCACACTAACTCTGTCGATATCAGTTTTGATTTTAAATAACAAATCCTAAAATCTGTCTTGTCCCGAGTATCAACTATCCTAACGAGTTGGAAGTGTTATCTAGATCCTTACCTCGTTCCTTCTCTTAGGTACCATCTGGATAGGTAAGGATAGGAAGATGGGATGGATATCGCCGAAGTTGGGAGTATTTAAGTTTTCATTGAAAGAAAAGAGAATACATCAGAAAGTCTTTACAAAGTCCCACGAGATGTTAAATAGAATCACGAACAGGAGGAGCCACAGACTTGGGGGTCTTGGGTCGGGTTGCGAAAAGGGAATGGGGAAGAATTGGGCGTTCGGGTAGAGAAGAGGGAGAAAAGACTGGCCGGACGCGACGGGGAAAGAATAACGGGTGGGGACGCCAGGCAGGGCCAGCCTCCGTCCCCGGTGCCCAGCCCCGAGAGAACCAACTCCAGGCAGGAAGGAGCCCTAGGCGGCGGCTCCCTCCCGGGGGACCTGGGGGTCGGCGGAGGCCAGAGGTAAACCCGAGAGCAGACGGCGCCGGACCCGCGAGGGGCGAGGCGTGCCGGCCGCTTCCTTACCTTCGGGCATCTCCCGGTCGCTGATGTGCTGCAGCTGGTGGCCTTCACCCGCTCCGAAATCCAACTCGGTGGGTTCCACGGCAGCGGGCGCCGGTGCTACGGCCACCGCGTCTCCGGCCGCCGCCTCGTAGACCTCAAACTCGTAGTCTGGCCCCGCGCGCCGGCCCAACTTGGGGCTGGCATTGGGGGACACGCAACAGGTCAGCGTGTTCCCCATGGGGCGCCTCCGCTCCTCGCCGCCGTCGCCTCCGCTCGGCCCCCGACTCCGCCGAGCTCAGAAGCCGCCCCCTCCCCCAACAATGGCGCGGCGGGCACCGGCAGCCCCGGGCTATGCCGGGGCTGCGCCGCGCATGTAGACGCGGCCTCGCCTGCCTCTCTCCTGTCCGCCCCGCCGCCGGGACCGGGGCAGGGCTCCGGCCCCGGCCGCAACCCCGCTGTCTCGCCGCCGCCGCCTCCCCGGAGTCAACTAGTCTGTGAAGGCGGCGACCAGCCCGGCTTATTTAAAAGGGGTGGGGACCCGACAAGCGCTGAGACGCGCAGCCACTGCCGGGAGAGAGCGCGGTCGGAGCTCCTCCTCCTTCCGCCGCCGCCTCCCGACTGAAAGCCGCTCGACTGGCCGGCCCTTGCCAACCGGAACGCGTCCTTCGGTCACCTGGTTACGACGGACCAATCACACACAGAGTTTCCTCCCAGTGCCCGCCTCAGAGAGCAGGCACGTGACTCACAATGCCCCGCCCTCGCCCCGCGGCTGCTCCGCCCCTCGAGTGGCGCGCCCGGGACTCCTGGTTCCATTCAACGTGCGGCACTCGGAGCTTTCCGGTCCTTCGGGAAGCGTTGCGGGAGTTTGTGAATCGAAGCTTTTCTGAGTCAGTGGGCTCTATAGAAGGCTTGTTAGTAAAGAGTCAGTTCCGTTAGCAACTCGGTTTCACCGGGTCTGACAGCTGACTCATTTAATGCATTGCTCAACGAACTTACTTACATCCGAATTGTTGACAGTTTTTTGTAACTAAATGCTCCTCTCGAACTGACTTCGAAAGAGTGTTAGTTTCCGCCTTCAGTTTAACCATAGCAATCCCCCGGGTCCTCAATAAAGAGCTGTGTCCGTGTCTTGAATGAGACTCGAGGACACGTCACCCCTCCACTTCCTCATCGGTAAATTAGGGACCGAACTCCTCCCTCCCAACTCTGAAACGCTGGGATTCAGCAACTCGATTTTCTCGCTGTTTTCTCTCTTCCACGGCACGAGTCTCCAGGTTTCCCTACTTTCACCAGTAACATAAAGCATAAAGTACGATTTTCTCATACAAAACTGAAGAGTCGCAAAGTGAAGTACCACGGTTTTGATTTAATGGAGATGATTGATGGTAAAGATATGTTCCCAAGGTCACATGATTGCTCAGGGGTATGGCCAGGATTTGGTCTCCGATTGTGTGGATCCCCAAAGGCAACTTATTGTGCTTATCAGAAAATAAAGGTAGAAGTCAAATTTGATTGGAAGTGGCATAGGATTTTCTCTAAGGGAGAACAACTTTTTGAAGTGGATTTTAAAATACTTTCCCTTCTTTCAACATTGGTTAGTCCCTCCTACTTTCTAGGCACTGTGTTCCTGCAATAGCCCTGCCCTCGATGAGCTCCGTCAGACACAGGAGAAAACAAAGGCTTATAAAGTCCAATTGTCTGAGGTCAGTCACACTGCTGCCAAGTACTTGAACCTGAAATTCAAACCTAGATCTGTCTAACCCCAAAGTAGGTTCTGGGGTAAAGAGCTTGATTTTTTTTTCCCCCAGAAACATGAAAACCTTTGAATGTTGTGACGTTAAGGAGTCATAATCAGGTGGTTTCTAGTGAGGTCACTCTGGACAGTAAGGAGGATTGATGGAAGAAACAAGAGCAATTAAGAGACTTAATATTCATCTAAGAGGGGAGTGAGAGTTCAAACTAAAGGCAGTGGCAGAGACTGGTGTGGTGGGAAAGGATTTGAGGTCATTTGGTGACTAGATACGGAGCAAGAGGGGTAAAAGAGAGGCAAAAATGGCTGCTAGGGTTCTGACTTAGGGAACTAGGGAGAGCACAGTGACTTTTTCCTAGATAGTACAGAAAGAGGAAGAGGTTTGAGGAGGAAGATCATTTGGGGCTCTGTTAATGAGAGCATGGAAGTAGAGCTCTCAGGTTGAAAGTTAGATGTAAACTTCTGTAGGCTATGTCCATTTTGTGATATCCCATCTCATGTTTTTGAAAAACTAAATCAATTTTAAAATGTAATTGGGGAAATCCCCTAATGCTGTGCTGACAGTTAAGACTATAATATTTTTCATGGAGCAACTTGGAATCTATGGTTTTAGTAAATGACATGTCCTATATAAAATAAAACTGTTAAATGAGAACAATATTAAAATTGTCATTGGAGTACATACAAAGTAGTTGAAGCTGTGGGTGTAGAAGTAATTGCCTTGAGAAGACATGTATAATAAGAAAAGGAAGGGAGGGAGGGAGAGAGGGAACTTCAAAAATAAGGAAATTTAAATGGCATTTAAGTAAACCTGACAAAGGGAGAAGTGGAAATCAAGGGTCCTGTGTATTAAAGGGAGAAGTGGAAATCAAGGGAACTGTGTATTAATCAGAAGTGGCTGATCAGCTGAGTTCCATGAGGGTAGAAATCACATCTGCTCTTTTCTGGAACAGAACACCTAGCACAGTACCTGGCCATTAGAAGCTCTAATTTGTAATTCCCTAAACAAAGTCCAGTGTTGTCCAGAGGGCAGGAAAGTTACAAATACCACTGACTGTGGTACATGGGTGACTGGGGATGGGTGCAAACTGGAAGGCAAGCAGTGAGTAAAAGAAATAAATAGGAGGTGATAAAGTGGAGACAAGGATTTTCTTCCCAAATATTTGGCTGAGAAGAGAGATGTGCCAGTCATTAGAAGAAAATGTACAGTTAATAATTTTTTTAAGTGGAAAAAAAAGTATATTCATATGTTAAAGGGTATGAGCCGATGGAGTAAAAAGGAGTTTGAGGTTAGAGGAGATGGGAAAATTGACAGAGCAAGGTCCTCAAGAAGGCAGAAGTGGATGTCCTCCAGGGCAGGCATAGATTAGCTTTGGATTGAGAGAAAAGCAAGGAAGGAAACAGGACCTGGGTGACAGACACCTGTTCTGGAGGTTTAGGAAGAGCTCATCTGATGACCTCTATTTTTCTCTGTTATAATAGGCTTCTGTTTGGAAAGCTACTCCAGGAAAGTGAGGATAATGCATAAAGAAGTTTAAACATTAGAAAAGCTTGATATACCTAATAAAAAGCAAATGATAGCTTCCCTCAAAATCGGAAAAGTTGAAAATAAATTTGAGCAAAAAACCAAGGAGCTCGGGTATAAAACAGGTATGTCACAAAAGTGAATGATGGGAACATTTGTTCCTCCAAATAGTAAAAAGAAATAGCAACAACTTTGAAGGGGGAAGAGTTTTAAAAAAATTAAGAAATGACATGTAATTGCAAAAAATGTGAACTTTTACAAACACTTTCATCACACATAAGACCAAAAGGAAAGGAAAAAAACCCAGAGGGAGTATTCTCCTTTGTTAAAAGGATACCAGGATGGAAAGGTCACCTCAAAAATCAAGGAAGCAAAGATGATTAATATTTAATTTAATTGTTTAAAAGATATAAGTAAGGTTTGGATACAAAAACAGGCAATATATTGAAATGTGGGAAACCATGGTAGAATGGGAAAGGATTCTAGGAAGTTCAGTTTCAGTGAACAACGTCTCATTAAATCCTTAGGACCTAGTGACTACATTCCATGACAATAATAATATTGTCTGAAGTCCTAGGAATGTCATTAGCTACCATTTTGGATGATTCTTATAGACTTGGGACAATGCCTAAGATTAAGTTTCAAAACACTGCCTGCATTTAACATCAGGCACATACAAAAATAGATATGCATGACCTTGAAAATTAAAGAATTTTAAACTTGCTAAGCAGAAAAAATATTCAGAAGCACCATTATGAAAGTATTAATAGATTTGAAAATATTTTGCTTTAGAAGAACATTGGAGGGCAGTGAGAAAAATCCTTATCCTGTTATGACTGTGGCAAATCTGGGAGAGAAAAGGGAAGCAGAGCAGTAATGACATTTGAATTAAGCTAGAGTCTGATTCTGTGATAGAATCTACATTTGCATATGCCAATTGATGTATGAACATTCCCTGTTTTACATGGATCTGGAGTAAACGCATTCATTAATTCAACTTATTCATTTAATGGCTGTTCAATACCCTGATGACTCAGAAGGTAAAGAATCTGCCTGCAATGTGGGAGACCTGGGTTTGATCCCTGGGTTGGGGCAAAGAACCCATTCCAGTATTCTTGCCTGGAGAACCCCCATGGGCAGAAGAGCCTGGCAAGCTATAGTCCATGGAGTTGCAAAGAGTCAGGCATGACTGAGCAATTAAGCACAGCACCTGAACTCTTGGGCTTCCCAGGTGGCGCTAGAGGTGAAGAACCTGCCTGCCAATGCAGGAGATGCAGGTTCAATCCCTGGGTCAGAAGGATCCCCTGGAGGAGGGCATGGCAACTCGCTCCAGTATTCTTGCCTGGAGAATCCCATGGACAGAGGAGCCTGGCGGGCTACAGTCCATATGGTCCCACAGAGTGGGATACAATTGAAGAGATAGCATGCACGCTCCCGAGCTCTTACTATAAGTCACACTTTTTGGGTTCAGGTTTAGGTTGCTATGACCAAGAAAAACAAGGTCCCTGTTCTCATGAAATTTATCTTCTAATAAGGGAGTCCACAAACCAGTCTTATCCATCACCCCTCAAACTCATGGCCCAGGATATCTATTTATCTCCAGCTATTGTGTCTTCATTCTAGACAGTAGGGTGGAGGAGTAGAAGAGAGATTTTTTCAGAAATCCACATAGCACAGTGCTTACATATCATTGACTTAAAGCTTAGTCCCATGGGCATACATAGCTGCAAGGGAGGCTCAGAAAATGTAATTATATAGCTGAGTAACTAATGCAGAAGGGAGAACTAGACATTGAAACTAGATATTGAAAGCACGCTTTGTAAGGAACAATCTAGTAAGGAAAGATTAGAGAAATTTCAACTTAAAGCAAGAATGATCATGATAAAATTTCATAGCCTTTTGCAAGCATATTTGAAAAAGTTAACAAGGAGTTCTATAATGATCTTTTCTTAAGATAAAAGGA